CCCCCCCCCCCTTTTTTTTCGTCCACCCCTCGCGTCGCCCCGATGAAACCGTCAAGACCGAGGTTCAGGGCCTCGCGATTTCTCGAGGTTCCTTCGGGGAACAGCGCTCCGTCTTGGAAACCTTGAGTATAACCCCCCTCCCCCCCTCCCGTTTCCATCCGACCCTCGCGTCATCCCCCGATTAAACCGAACAAGATCGAGGTTCCTCGTCCGAGACGGAGTCTCCTCGGTTCGACGGCTCGCTTCCCCCCTCCTCGCGCCACCGCCGCCGCGAGGACGGGGACGGAGAGGAAGACGCCTGCTCCTCCGCGAGCCCTCGGTACGCCATCATCTACCCCAAGAGGACATCCCTAAGCCGGCGTCTTCGCGTGGAAGACGACGCGTTCTTGGATTTCGTCACGACGCTCCTGCTCGTCGACCCTACCCGCAGGTGCGGTGTGTGTGTGTGTGTGTGTGTACGCGCGCATGGCGACCGGTGATTTCAGCGGAATGGGGGTGTAAACGTATGCCGTAGTCCTTAGACCATAGACCTCGCATCCCTACAATTCCGGGACGGAGCGACATGCCGGGTTTTCGCCGGCAGAGGCAAAGTTTCACAGGGGTTGTAGTCCTCTTTTCGATCATGCAGCTGCGTTTTGGTTCTGGCTTGTGACGTAGTTTATCGGTGCACCGGATAGTATCCTCATGTAGGTGAGCTTGCGTTGACGTTGTTATTTTTCTTTGTGTACGGGTTGCTTTTGGTTATGTTTGGGTTCAAGAACCCCTTCTGTGTTAGGCTTTGGCGGAAACTGCATGCTGGTACTTGGGAAGTGGTAGTTCTGTTTCGTAAAACGCTGATCACCCCACCTCCCCCCCCCCAAACGAACGAACGACGTGCAAAATGGAATACAAAAGGCCGACCGCGACGGAAGCTCTGTGCCACCCTTGGATCCTGTCTGGCCTATCCTACTCTGACGACGACCTGTGGTATCCCCCAGACGAAGATCAAGAACAAGACCGCGTCCACAGTGAGCATGCCACCGGGGCTCGCGACGGCGAGGACGACCGGGACGACGAAGGGGTTGGCGGCGGCGGCGGTGGCGGCGATGGGATGGGTTTCCAATCGGACGACCATGGTGACATCGGCGTGTTTATGGACGGGGATGGGGAGTACATGCCATCGGTCCGACGACAGTCGTTTTGAAGCAGCCCCCCCCGTTTTTTACTTTCTCCGGAAACGGAAATGTCCTGTGGCAAACGGCACTATGCCTTCGGCGTATGAAGAAGACGGGGAGATCGACTCCCTGCACGGTAATAGTTGGCCGTGCGGCTGGCGGTTGGATGGTTGGGTGGTAGCGGCAAAACCGGGTAGATGCCGTTGCCTACGCGGGGGACGGGTCGCTAGGGCGGCTGTACTTCCTTGTGTTGAGTCTGCGCAAGAGCTTTTTTCGTTGGTTGGGATGTTCAGATTTGTGGTTTGGTGTGGTGGCGCTTTGCTGCGTATTTATTCGTAACAGTCGGTGTTGTCTGGAGCTTTGTTTGCTTGCTTCACACGGGTGTGTTTGGGTTTGAATTTTGTCGTTCCAAGCGGGAAAATGTTTTGGAAATTTGCGGAGTGGAGCGTTTTGGTGCTGGTTTTGTTGGGGGGTGTGGTGCTGTTTGTGTATGTGATTTTTCCCATTCGCCGGCGATATCGTCCTCAATTCGTCAAAAAGAGCTTGAGCACCCTTCGTGATGGGTGAAAAATTATTTGTTGCTTCTGTTCGTCATGTATCCTGATAGTATGTGTGCGCGAAGTGGAACACTATTATTGGCTTGTTGTGCCGCTGTCGCTGCTGGGGGTGCAAGGCCCGACGTGTGACTTGATTGTGCGGGGAAAAGCGCAGGTGCCTCGAGACACTTAGCTGCTCCTTCCATGCACCCCTGCGGTGGACACTGTCGAATCAGCACTTTGGGTGCGGTAAATATTAACTGTAGTCGTTGGGTGCAGCGAGCTGTTCCGTTTCTAGGGCGCTCTTTTTGCCCTGTTGTTTGCTTTGTTGGAAGTTGGAATGAATGTCCGGATTGAGAGGCCAACCGTCGAACCAGAGGCTGAAGCTGGCGATGGCGTCGTGGATCGTTGGCTGTTGAGTTGCTGTGCGGGGAGAGGGGGGGTATGCGTTGACCGGCCGAGTTTGCTCAACAGTCGTCGGAGGCGCTTTCGTGTGTGTGGTATCACAACAAAACCTTCCTGTGTGTGCTGTATCCGGCTGTGCCCGGAAGTATTCGGGCGTTGTTCGTATAGCGTGTTTCTCTCCGATGATTGATGTATCTAAGGTGTGTGTGCATCGTATCGCGTTCGCAATACTGAATCAATCCCCCGTTGTAACCTGTGATGCAAACACTTTTGTAGTGTGGTTTGATAGTGTGGTTTGATACTCAAATCGTTTTGATTTTTTTTCATGTCTTGGTGTGTCATGTGTCATTTTGCGAGTTTCGCGGTCAGGATAATACTTCAAAGTAGGAAGTAGAGACCACAGCAGAAGTTGCGTGCGAAGGCCAAGCCACCAGGAGACGTGTGAAACTATATGACGTTTCACGTGGTTGATACAACGAATCAACCGTTATTGATCGTGCCGTTTTTGATTCGAGTATTGTGGGAAGACACAGGCCAGGAGCCTGCTGGTGCACTTACTTGGGCTGACAGTACTTCACCTAATCGCTCACGGGGAACGGGATTCAGACGGCAATCGAGGTGTGCGGGCCTAGATTAGACTACCATTGTTTGGAACGTTCAAACGATGAAAAAAGTTAACCGCTAGCCTACACTCACTCGTAGTTGACTCAGATTTTCAACGGGAAACGAAACATCGGCAAGGGATACAACATCATCCCCCCCAGACAGGTACGTGCTTCAACGTCCGACCCAAGGACCCCTACGGCGTACCTGTTCTCCCCTCCCTCCCTGTTGCCGGATTTTTTTTGGGACCAAATCCACATCACCTACGATCACGTCATGGTTGACCTCACAAATATTCGGTTCCATACCCGATCGAGTAGCCATACCGTACCCGCCGGGCTTTACATCTGAACGAAGGGTACTCTATGTTGCAACAGTGCACATCGTAATGGTCCATTTTCGCTCTCTTTTCCGCGCCACCATGTACTCTTTGCGCGCTCCCATGCACAATGGTCTGCCACCTGTAACTATGTACTCTGACTATTCCGCAGTAGCAGCCGCCTCCGCGTCGGCCGTTGGTGTTTCCGTCGCGGCTGGCGCCGGTGCGGCCTCTGTAGGCGCTGCAACAGGCTCCGCTGCTGTTGTCTCGCCTGCCGGCGGTGCTGCGCCATCGGGGGTAGCCTCAGGGGCAGCTGTTGCCTTCTCCCCGCCAGCAGCAGCAACATCGGGGGCGGCGTCGCCACTGGCGGTGCCCACTGCGGTGTTGTACAAGGTCTTGAGCTCGGCATAGATGTCCTCGTCGGTTTTCCCCTCTTCTTTCAACGCCTGAGGTTGTGTTGTGCTGAGTGGATCACTTGACTCTAGAGTAGTGAAGAAACATGCCAGCACGGAAGAAGATGCGTCTAGCACCCATTTGTATCAACGCAAAACAACCGACAATATCCGAGGGCGTGCTGGAAGCGTTGACAACAAACACGCATGCCTTCACCTTCACCGAACTTCCCTAATATGCTCATGGATAGCGTAGATTGTAAATAAATTGAAGGTCGTTTAGCAGACAAGGCAGGATCGTTTGATTGGCAGTGCGTGGTGAACAAATGCTACGAGGAACGGTTCCGATGACGACCAAAACAACGGCAACCGCTTGCGCAAAACAATGCACACATGTCACCCAAATAGTTGACAATGAAAGGAACTTCATCTAGGGTAAACATTGGTTCGCATGTGACATGAAATGTCTCTAGACTACATGAATATATCACGACAGGGCATTGCATTGTGGTGAACGCAAGGGCTCTAGCTTTGTTTTCCCAAGTCATTTTTTCGTGAAAAAATATGCATGTTGTAATAGTTTGTTTTGATAGCAGGTTTTTTGTTATTTGATACTATCGTTATGCACATGTGGAAATAAGAACACACTCAGAGTTCTACTACAACAAGTAGTTCGGGTCCCGACTCGCCTCGAATTTCGATCGCATTTCCTTAAACGTGGTCAGTTCCGCCTCCGCCGATACAGAAGCTGCCGCGCCCATGATGTATGAGACAGCAGACTTTAAAGGTTTGCAGTGCAGTGCTAATATGGGTTGCCTCCTGCTTTTAGTCACCCGCCGCTTTGTCCGCTGCACATGCACACCCCACGAATCTCTCTCTCTCTCTCTCTCTCTCTCTCTCGCTCTCTGTGTGTTTTATTATTAGCATCGACCGCGCTAACCGGCTGACCAATGAAAATACGTCTTGTGTATGTCTTTATTATTAACATCGACCGCACTAACCGGCTGACCAATGAAAAGACGCGTGTGTGTGTCTCTCCCGCGCGCATGGTGACGAGGAGCCCTTGTCGCTTTCTCGGAACGCGGAGAAACCGACGCCCGAACCGTCGAGGGTTCCGCCGCATTTCTGTAGACAGACTGAAGGCAAGGTGGGAAGGCTGTATCGGGTTTCGTGCAAAGGTGCTCTCCCATATTGACCTCGCGGCTGACACACATCGTCTTCTCTGCTGATCCCTGTGCATCCAGGTGGGTAATTCTGCACGTGTTGTATCCTTTGCCCTCCTCCACACCATTTTTCCACACGGAGATGCCAACCGCCACCCGCTGCCGCTGCTGCTCTTCATGACGGATGCTCTACGACGTGATTACAACATGTGGTCAACAAGATATCTCGGCAAACTACGCTGAGGAACAACAGGGAAGTCGACTAACCATCCTTACATATATCATTTTGAAAAGTTTTCGTGCTTTACTGCTGTTTGCCAACACCAAACATGACATGAAACAAGCTAAGCGAGATGCAACCGGACTGTGATGCCCTACTTACCATGCACCCTGTGTACTTAGCCTTATCTCATGCATCAATGATGCGTAAACCCCTAAAGATCAATGTCATTTTGCGGATTCAAAAACGGCGGGAAACAACTGCCCGTAAAATTCAAATTGTATGAAAAACCAGTAATCCCTTTCAAGTTTTTTTTCTGTGTTTAGTATGATTGTTCTCTGTGTGTATTCATTTTTCCTAATAAGATATAGTAGCTGTCGCTAAAACGAGCGACAGCTGATAGATGTAACTGTCGTCAGACGTGTGCGTCCGCGGGAGGTGGAAGAGACCCTTTCTTCTTCTTTTTCTCTTTGTAATATAATTCCAAATTCGTGTCGAACAGACTAGCACGTTGTCACAAAGACACTGCGCCGTGTTCCCTGTGAAGTCACATTTTACAACACACGACATGACGGAGGGATTCTCCCCGATAATCTTTGTCGTTGACCCAGTAGAGAACTACAGGGGATGTTTTGCAAAATTTAGGCTACCTTTACATATGTTTTTATTGTACTTAGCACCACCAGCTGGTATCACTGATATAAATCATCAGTGTTGTGGAAAAGAGGGTTTCGTCCTCGACAGACGTTGGGGAGTTTCAACCTTTATGAAGGTGTTCTCCACAGTGTATAGACTTAAATAGACTCGAAAATAAGTCCAGTACCCAGCCGGTTTCCCTCCACTCACTGAAGAAAATACTCCACAACATCCCGTTCGAATGTGGGTATATCTCGAACGGGCAGTCTTTCTGTGTGTGTATTTGTTTTTCCTAAGATTGCACCGCTGTTGGTTGTGCCGCACCTCTAACGGCGCCCGCACCCCACGACCCGCGACCCACGACCCACGGCCCGCCGTCGTCGCCACAGCGGAAAAACGTGCGTGCAAGGACGAGCTACATGCCAAACTATTGGCACGCTATCGCTACGTACTATGCAGCATAGCATGGTCACGTCATCCGTATGGAACTTACCAAGTTTTCCCGGGGAGGCCGGAGCTGTTTTCCTCTGAAACACAGGATGGCGGCTGATCCAAACTTTCTTACGAGAAAAAAATCATTAGCCCCGCTTCAGTCCAACCCGCGCGCTCCCGTGGCAGCTTTCGGAAGAGGAACTCCGGACGGTAGCTGCGATGACATCAGCAACAGCGGCGAGCGTGGTGGCTCCCCGGTAGCACACGAGCCAAGCGTCACCTTTTCAGCGGAAAACGGATCAGGGTTGACCGGCTCTGCCCCGGCCGATGCCGTTGCAGCCACTCTCGCCGGGTATGATGGCGTGCTGGTTTTAAACTGCTATCGGAGTCGGTCGTATACACTATTGTGAAAGCCCGCCGGCGCTAGTCTGAAGGTTACAGCAGTAGACTTAGCAGTACTACTGCTGTCCGTTGTTCTACAATTGGTGCACAATCTACACACCGCGCTAAGCATGTGCATACTTGCTGTACAACCCAGCAGCCGTGTATCACAATTTGCATTTTTTCTGATGGGGCCGTAAAGATCTGAGACTCTCTTTTAATGACCGCTGATTGTTTATATCGGATGCAACGATCAGATATGTAGTGCCCGTCGGTACTCGACCAGGCCTGGTCAGCATCGCAGATTTTCAAAGCGGCCAACAAGGGTAACGTTGCAGTGGCACACAATGAGTGTCTGTACTATCAGCATCGTGGATCTCTCAGCAATCTGGAGAACACTTTCAATCTTCAAGCAAAGGCATGCCTTTGCGTGGATTTTTCCGATTTGGTTGTCGCGGATTACTATCTATACCATGAATGATAATTCCACTCTGAGGTATGGCCGCGTGTTCGAGAACGTGCTATGATAAAATTAATCAAACGCGGAACGGGGTATCAAAATGTTTTTTTTGCCGAAAATGGCATTTGTTCTTGGCTCATCGCCGTCCACTTCGCGCACGCATCGACCATCTAACAGGGTAGCAGAAAGTGTCAAAAGCGCCATCAAAGCTTACGAGCACACCACAAGCCTGCCGTACGACAGCGTCCCGGCAGAAGTATGCCGGGCTAAGGATGGGACCAAGTCCATCGACCTCGCAGCATGGTCGTTGCTTGTAGATGACGCCGCCTTGAGATGCATAGCAGCAGGAGATCGGGACCGAATCGATAAGCTTGCCCGTCAGAGCAGCGTGAACAAGGTATTTTTGCGTACGCACTCGCAATTTCTGTGCCATTTTGAGACGTACGTGCTCCACCGAAGCACGGCGACAAAAAAATGGGTAGGCGACAGGACTGTTGTCGTGCCGTCGGGCTACTGTCGGTACAGCAGTTGTCTGTTTTTCGTGCGTAGCGTCGACGATCTTCGTTCTACCAAAATGGTGTGCATCTCTCGTGGAGAGGCAGCTTGGATGCGAATGCCTCAAAGCAGACCCTTGAAGATCAACATCAACGTGAGTGGGTCTAGCGTCTGGCATACGACGTCCGGCATAACCACGGCACCATGAATTTACGGCACAGGAGCATTATCAGAGTTCACAGTAAACAAAACATACGCCCCCCGTCAACATCCCTATCAACTGAACGGACCTCGAGAACTCACTCAAGCACTGGCGCCACGATCAATAAACACGGACAAATGTATCTGTGGGGAACGTGTAGGTTAGTGGCCACATTGATGCGATGGGGCTCACAGCCGCGTTCAAAGGAATGGACCCTTCGGGGGTG